CCTCCCCGGGAGGGCTATCCCCTCCGCTGCTCCCCCCCCCCCCCCCCCGACTGCTGGCCATGGAGATGGAGGTTAGGGAGGGCATTCTAAAATCCATGGGGCTGTGCCTCAGGGCTCCCCAAGTCCACATGGGCAGGTGGCCCTCAGGCTCCGCCCTCTGGCCACACCTCCACTGAGACGGGCAGTCCCTCCTGCGTCTCAGGCCTGGTTCTCTGGAAGGTGAAGATGGAGTGGGGGACGTGGATGTTGGGGACAGACGGGGGGCCTGGGCCTCAGGGTCCAGCCTCTGTTCTCCAGTCTCCCTCAGGTGCCTACTGCTGACCCTGTCCACAGCACCCTGGGGTCCTGGAGGGGTGGCATCTCCCTGCCCTAGGATGAGGGTCCTTCCCCATGGGTGGGCTTGGGTGGGGGCTCTCCCTGCATGACAGCCAGTTCACAACCTTGTCTGCAGGATCCTCAGCATAAAGTTAAATTTTGACTGAGGAGCCCCACAAACCAATAGGACCAACTCACTGAAGGGCTGGGCTGCGGGAGGAGGAGGCTAGGCTGCAGGAGAGTGGGGCCGGGCTGCAGGAGAGGGTGGGGGCCGGGCTGCGGGAGAAGCGGGGAAGGGCTGCAGAAGAGGGTGGGGGCTGGCTGGGAGGTGTTGGAGAGATACCAGCCACGATGCAGGTGCCTCAGGCCCTGGAACCCAGGCACAAGGGACACCTGGTCAGGATCCATGTGGCCAGGACCAGCAGGGGCTCCAGGCCACCGGGGCCTGGCCTGAGAGGTAGGAGGTCACTGTCACCGAGCTCCAGGGGTCAGGCTGCCCGCCCTCACGGGCCCTGTGCCCCGAGGCTGGCCTGGTGTGGAGTGGAGATGAGTGATGTGGCAGATGGCCCCCGGGCCTGGGGGTCAGCAGACAGCAGGTGGTGTCCAGCAAGCATCCTAGATCATGCCGGCCAGCCAGGGGGGCAGGAAGAGGCCGATGGTGCCCAGCAGACAGACAAGCACGAACACCCAGAGGAAGATGCGGTCGATGACCATGGCCACGTACTTCCAGTCCTCCTTCACCTGCGGGACAGGAAGCCACCCAGAGGTCACCAGGTAGTCACCAGAGCACCCTCTGGAAGCAGTGCTGTGGGGGCAGGAGCACTCCACGGGAGGGGCCAGGACCATCCGACGGCGGGTGGAGGAACCCCGTGGCCCCAGGGATGCTGCCCCCCACCCACTTGCCTGTGCCCAGGTGAGGCAGGAGGACAGTGTCCTCTGAGGGGCCAGGACCACATCTTAAAGGTTTGAGGAGGCGCCAGAGAGACTATGATTCTGCAGATGGGTGTTGGGGGCGTCTGTCAGGGCTATCCTAGGTGGGCAGGGCTGTCTACCATGAGTGACCAGATGGGCTCTGGCCACCACGGACAAGGGGGGGTCCAAGGGCTAGGCCAGGGGAAGCTAAGCTGCCAGTGAGGGTCTGGGGCTGGGTTTTCCCATCACCCTGGATGCCCCTCCCAGAGGTTTTAAGCCACATGGAATCGGTGTGCTTATTGAAGGGGGTGGGGGCCTGCTGGACCTCACTGTCTGGCCAGGTGGCTGCCTGGAGCCTGGTACTTTCCCTCTGCCTCTGATCCTCTAGCTGCCCTGGATGGAGCATCACCGACCAAAGCCTCGGCCTGAGGCCCTTCCTGTGAAGTCAGCACCGCCCTCAGGGCCGGTGAGCCAGGGCCTGGGCCAGGGCCAGAGCCAGGTCTGCACAGCGCAGTCATGGCCGGCGGCGGCGGGTGTGGGGGAGGGGGGAGAACGGACAGGAGGGGTACAGGGAGGAGGAAGGGGGAGACATCCCTCCCCCGTATCTCTGCCTTCTGGTCGCCCTGAGGTTTAGATTACACACCTGAATAGATGTGCCCACCTCCCCCACCCCCTATGCAGCTGCTCACAGACTTCTCATGTCAGGGACGTGTGGTGACACCCCCCACACTGGCACCCCCAGACATGCTGGGTCATGGGGGCCCCTCTGAGGACCCTAAAACTGTGATCCCACAGCTGGGGTAGGTTCTCCCCTCTCTCAATGTAGACCTGTCTTTCCCCCCTCAGCCTTGCTCCCTGCTGCCAGGCCCCCACCCCGCCAGTGCCCACAGGCTGGGATGCCTCTGAGGCCTCGTGGGATTTGGGGAAGTGGGGGCAGCCCTCCCTGCCACACAAGCTCTGTCCATGAGGACACTCCCTGTGGCCAAGGGACACTCAGAATGGCTCAGTGTGGCCTGAACCTGGTGTCACCATCAACGTGGCAGTGATGCCCGCTAGAGGCTCACAGTGCCCTCCTAACTCTGCCCTGGATGCGTGGCCACTGTGGGCCTGAGGCAGCAGGCCTGTGGCACAGCCTCAATCCATCCGCCGCCACCCCACCCCCGGGGGGGTGGGGGGGCGAGACCACGCTGGACTTACCGAGAAGTCGGTGTCCTCAGCCTTCAGGTGGTCAGCGATGTACTGGACCCCCTCCACGGCCCGGGCCAGAGCCGGCGACAGGGCGGGGTGGTGGGGTACTTTGGCTGTGAGGGTGGCGGAGGGAGAGGCTGCCGCCGGCTCCTTGCATTTGCACCTGCAAGGCGAGGGCTGCTGGGAGACGGCGGGCTCAGCAGGGTGCGTGGGGCCTGGGGAGCTGGCCGCCTGGCCATTGGCCTGGGTGGACGCCTCGTCTCGGACGACGCTGTACTGGATGCTTCGGGATCGGCACCGTATGCTGCTGTCGTCCGCCTCACGGGCCCCGGGCATGAGCTGCTCGCTCAGGGACTTGGCCTTGACCAGCCCAGCGTCTTCCGCGGGGCCGGGTGGAGGGCCGGCGCCGGGCTTCCCGGACTCCTCGGGCTGCGTGAGTGTGGGGGGCTGCTCCCAGGGCTGCTTGAGCGGCTCGCCCAACGGGACGTAGAAGGACGCATCCAGCGACGGGTCCCGGCTCAGGAAGCCGGGCTGGCCCTCGGGCTCAGGCCAGAAGTGTGGGGCGCTGGCCATCTTGTGCATGGACTCAATGAGCCGCCGGCAGTTGTCCTTGACCACGGAGGGCCGCTTCATGAGCAGCAGGCGGGGCACGATGTCCAGGAAGACCCTGCGCACCCAGGCGGGCATGGCGTGGGTGCGCGGGGACCGGTGGTGCACGTTGAGCACGAAGACGGTGATGATGATGGAGAGCGTGACGAAGACCATGGTGAAGAGCAGGTACTCGCCGATGAGCGGGATGACCAGCGAGGTGGACGGGATGATCTCGGTGATGAGCAGCAGGAAGACGGTCAGCGAGAGCAGCACGGAGATGCAGAGCGTGACCTTCTCGCCGCAGTCGGAGGGCAGGTAGAAGACCAGCACCGTGAGGCAGGAGATGAGCAGGCAGGGGATGAGCAGGTTGATGGTGTAGAAGAGGGGCAGCCGGCGGATGATGAAGGCATACGTGATGTCGGGGTAGACCTCAGCGCAGCACTCATACTTCCTGGTGTGGTAGCTGCCCACGGCGTCCACCAGGACCCACTCGCCGCTCTCCCAGTAGTCCAGCCGGTCCACCCGCGGGTGCACACTCACCAGGTCGATCTTGGCCTTGTCGTAGGTCCAGGACCCAAACTTCATGGTGCAGTTCTGCTGGTCGAAGGGGAAGAAAGTCACGTCGATGCTGCATGAGCTCTTGTAGATGGCCGGGGGCGCCCACTGGATCCGCCCGTCGTGGAAGAGATGGGCCTTGGTCAGGTGCGTCACTGCGAAGTCCCCGTCTGCACTGGGCAGCGGAGAGTGGAAGCCAGGAGTCAGGCCCACCAGGGCCGCCTGCAGCCTGAATGCCCCCACCCCCGCCAAAGCCCCACTTCCCTGCACCCCGAGCATGCTCACCTCACCGGTGAGTGGACAGAGGCAAGCTGTCCCCACACAGTGTGCATCTGACTAAACTCTGTGCCTCAATTTACCTCCCTGCCAGGAGCCTCGTGGAGGGCTCGCGGGCTCTCACTCAACCACAT